CACACCACAGACGGTCCCTTTCAGAGCAACATCACAACAGCTGGAGTTTATTCATTGGAAACCAGACATTCAGGTTAAAGGTACAACAACACGTACAGGAGACGAGTTAGGAATTGCGATTTAGGCTTATGAGGTAAATGGCGATTTAATATATTAGGGTTCTATATAGATATTACTCTGTTTACTCTCATAAACTACTATGAACTCTTAGAAAAATAAAACTTTATCTTTGTTTTATGAATCGTTTTAAATACAAAATCAGTCGATATATAGTCGCTTGGGATGAAAAGCTCTCGTTTTTCATGATTGAAATATAGAAGGCTTATCGGAAAGCGCATGTTTTGTGTAGAGCAGGGTAAAGAGGTATGTGGTAAACGTTGTGCAAAAAAAGGGCAGAGGAATTTAGGCTTTAAGGTGTCCCCCAGGTAAATGTCCTCGGTACAATACAGTTTACTGAATGATAGGTTTATATATCGAAATGCTGTCATCCTGAGCATTACGGTGATCTGAAAGCACTCAGTTGTAGAACCAGGTGTTACTGATGTTTGTTTTTTAATGTCTAAAGCAGGGATTGCCAACTTTTTTTTTAGCCAGCAGTAAAAACAGTAAAAATGCTACAGTAAAACTATGATATCTGATTAACTGTAAGTGTCCTTAATATTTAGGGTGAATATCCGTAATTGGACATTTTCAAAATTCCCTGCATGACACTTTTTTTTTGTTATTGTTGACATTACTATACACTCAAAAGATTTTAGCTGATTAGTCAAACTAATTATTTAAAACAAGTTTTTATTTATTTATTTATTTATTTATTTATTTATTTTGGGGGGAGGGGGGTACATTTATTGTTTTACATTTACATTTAATCCACTTAAATTTGCAAACAAAACTAAGTTAACTTAAGAACCCAGCACTTTTTTCAGCTCTTTTTTTTTGTTTTTCTCCTCATCAGTGATCTAATAAAAGTTCAATAACGTTTACTCCAATACTTTAGTGTAGGGCTGGGCGATATGGCAAAAATGCAATCTTGATTATTTCTTTTCCATATTGAACAATAGCGATATATATTTCGATATCAGTTGTTTATGCTTCCAAGTTTTAAAATAGTACCCCAACATTGACTGAAGCCACAAATTAGAGGGTCCACTAAACAGCATAACTTTCTTTTGGTGGCATCTCTAATTCTTAAATTTGGTTCATCTCTAATATAAAGAACCTTTTAGATTCCCATTGTTGTACATTTCTGCTGTTTGATTGGCGTTAGATCAATATAGAGTAAAAAAGTTCAGAGCTTATTGTTATTGACATCAATTATTATCATGATTCGATATAATATTGTTTATCAGCCCAGCCCTACTTTAGTGTTTAGATAAGCTGCTTTTGTCTATGTAACAAATGTACAATGTGTAGATGTTAGTACTTCAAAATAAGGGCGTATTAACACTGTATAAATTAAGGAAATACAGTAGTTTACCGTAGAGTTTGAAGGTTTCTAGCTTATGTTTATCTGTAAATTCGTTACCATCAATTTTATTGAACTATTTTTACTAGAAGTACCTGAATAAGTACAGATTCATTTGCAAAGTTGTATTTGAGCCATTAAACCAATATACTGTACAAGTGTTTAAATAAATTATATTCCAAGTAACAACTAGGATTTAAACTATTAGTAATTTGTTGTGTATTTTCAAATGGGTCTATAAAGTTTTAGAAATTTTATGTTTTAATATTAGTCGTTTTAGGTCAAGTTAAACAAAACAGAAATGTGCTGAGCTTACAAAATTGTATTTAATGGGATTAGTTTTAATTACCAGTATTACCTCTAAAGCAAATTATGCACCACCTGACAAAAGCCTTGTCGCCCATCCACGTTTTAGGAACAGAAAATAATAACTTGTCTTCTAGTTGATCATTTGGTATCAGAAGAAGCTTATGTGAAAGACAAAGGCCTCTAGATTACGCTTATTTTTCTTAAATAAAATATGATCATGCCTCGATTTTTAATTATTTAATTAGGACAGTAACATTTAACCTAGCTTAGATAAAATTCTTGAAAATAAGTCATAGTGCAGTGGAAAAATGATTAATATAGTGTATGACTTCCATGAGCTTGGAGGACTGCATCCATATATCTCTGCAATGACTAACGTTCTTGCAGGACTCCCAGAGTTCATCAAGATTCTTTGGATTCATTTTCATCTTACCCCAGACATGCTGAATAATGTTCATGCCTGGTGACTGGGCTGGCCAATCCTGGACCACCTTGACCTTCTTTGCTTTCAGGAACTTTTAATGTGGAAGCTGAAGTATGAGAAGGAGCGCTATCCTGCTGAAGAATTTGCCCTCTCCTGTGGTTTATAATGTAATGGGCAGCACATATGTCCTGATACCTCAGGTTGTTAATGTTGCCATCCACTCTGCAGATCTCTCACATGCCCCCAAACTGAATGTAATCCCAAACCATGATTTTTCCTTCACCAAACTTGACTGATTTCTATGAGACTCTTGGGTCCATGCAGGTTCCATTAGGACTTCTGCAGTATTTGTGATGATTGGGATGCAGTTCAACAGATGATTCATCAGAAAAATCTACCTTCTGCCACTTTTCAATGATCAACTAGAAGTCAACAACTGGGATCGACGACAAGACTTGTATCAGGTAGTGTAGATGAATCAGAAAATTTAAATGAAAACATTTCAGTTTTAACACAGTATACTAGTTTACGAACCCTAGTTGGAAAACCCTGCTTTAGAATAACAACATAAACTATTTTAACTATCAGTCTAAATGACGACAATTGGTTGTTTCATGTCAGAAAAGAACCGAAAAGCAAGAGAAATCTCTGACATCAGTCAAAAAGGCAAGTCGTTTTAGATGCAGAGAGCGAGTTGTTACATTTAGCTAAAATATCAAGACGAACACCGAATGAATCGGAATAGCGCGCACTCACAAATCGTGCACAACACCAGGAACGTGCACCGATTGAATTTCACAATGACTTTTTTTTGATTGCAGTTTCCTCACATGGTCACAATTTACAATCTTCATCTTTATAGTAGAATATTGGCGTATCACCCTACATGTAAACGCTTTGATAGCATGCAGAAGTTGGTGGCAGTGAAGGCAACATGAGTTAAATCAGCAAGAGGGCAAAGGGCAAGAGACGCCATGATTGGTCCTGACATTGGTTTTTCTATTAGCGACCTGGTTCAAAACTGAGGGATAAATAGAGCTGGCTGTTCACCACAGATATATACGAACACTCACACTGACAGACACAGGCCGTAAAATGCTTATAGTCGATAACTACATGTGCAGATTAAAACAAGCTCGCCTGGAAGAGAACAAAACGCAGCGCTCCTTTCTGTCTTTATTCATCCCTCTCAAGTTGCTCTGTTCAGCAGCTTACTTTATTTTCTTGGCCCTTCATCCTGCTGAAAAGACCAGATTGGCTCGTTTACTTGCTGAAGTTCAGATGTTGTGATGTATAACTGGCTTATTTCCCTTTAACTAGCAACACAGCCTTTGTAGTAATAGTGCAGCCTTCAATAATAGTACACTGTAAAAAAATGTAATGACAAAAAGTCAAGACAACATATTTTTTGATGTGGCTTTAACTTATTTTTATAAGTTAATCAGGTTTTGACTACATTTTTAAAGTTATATAGAGTTTAACTTAATATTTTTAGTCAGTTTGACTGACGTAAGTTGAGGCGGCTCGAAAAGTCAATCTGATTCAACTAAGAAAGTGAAGTCAGCAAGAATTTCTAAACGTTCATAAATGAAGATGCATTTACTTGTGACGTGAACTCAAATGAGTCTTATTGTCTGAAAAAATGTATCAAAGTAAAGTCTATTTTTCTTAGCCTGTTGGCAGATTTTTTATTTATTTTAAGCATAAATTTGATCATTTAAAAAAAGCTATTTATCACAGCATGTACATTATTTTTTTTATTATTTTTTTTTTACATTTTAAGTTGATGTTAGGTGGTTCATTCCGCTGTGGCGCCCCCTAATGAATAAAGGGACTAAGCTGAAGAAAAACGAATGAATGAATGAAGTTGAATGAATGAATGAATGATGTTAAATTTGAAGTGTGTTTTAAGTATAAACTTGCTTGATTTAGATTTTCTTTTAAGAAAAAGTATTTTTTTCCTCATAAGCAACTGTAAATTAAAGAGCCTGGATATGTTACTTTATCACACAACACTTTAAAAAATTACTGTAAAATGTACAGTATTACTGCCAATTTAGGTAGCCAGTAAGGCCGTAAAATTTACAAGTGCACTAAATTAATAATTACAGCACAATTGTAATTAAAAATTTACAGTGAGCTTGTAAATTTTGGTTGCCAGTACTACTGTAAATTTATAAGTACCTTGTAAATTAACAGTTACAGTTGTGCTGTAAATCTACAGCACAACTTATTAATTTACAGTACGCTTGTAAATTTGAATATTTCTGGCAATTTTTACAGTATTACTGGCTAAATTTACAAGCGCACTGCAAATTTTCAACTACAATAATGGTGTAGATTGTACAACAAGTGTACTTATAAATTTACAATAATACTGGCAACCAAAATTGCCAAGCGCACTGTAAATTAATAATTACAATTATGCTGTAAGACTACAGCACAATTATAATTATTAATTTAGTGCACTTGTTAATTTTACAGTATTACTGGCAACCTAAATTGCCAGTAACACTGTAATTTGAACAGAAATTTTTTTTTAACAGTGTTTCATTATAAAAATCTGAATTTACTCACAAATTTATGCTTAAAACAAGAATAAAAATCTGCCAGTGTGAATATAAATAAACACAAACATAAAATATAAACAAAAATAAAATTTTGCTTCTGCCAGTGGTAAAATAAAGACATGTAATTTACTTTTATGCAGATTTATAATTCATTGATTTTCTTTTCAGCTTGTTAATCGGGGGTTGCCACAGCAGAATGAACCACCAACTTATCCAGCAAATGTTTTACACAGCGGATTCCCTTCCAGCTGCCACCCATGGGAAACACACACGGCCAATTTAGCTTATTCAATTTACCTATAGTGCATGTTTTTGCACTGTGAGGGAAACCGGAGGAAACCCACACGAACACGGAGAGAACATGCAAACTCCACACAGAAATGCCAACTGACCCAGCTGGGGCTCGAATAAGAGTCGTTCCTGCTGTGAGGCGACAGAGCTAACCACTGAGGCACCATGCCGCCCATAGAATTATAATATCATTGTAAAATCAAACATAAAACATAAGCTACATTATCTTGCTTCTCAAGTATCTTGATTAAAGGATGCGTAGGTATGAATACTGTAAAATCCAAATGACTAAATAAATGACTGTTTGCACAAAATAACAGTTTACTAAATGTTGGGTATAATATAACCACAAACTGCGGCTCTGAAATGTTTTGGGCTATTTAAAGCAGCATGAGGCTGTCAATATATTGTCCATCAGCTGCAAAATAAATTATTCTGAAACTAATTTCAGTGACATTGCTCCACAGTGTCATTATTGTTATAATTATGTTATATATTTCACCAATTATATAAAAATTACATTGTATTTTCATTCGAATTGTAAAAATCTTTCAGCAATAGTAAACCAGCACTGGTGTTTTCAGCAGGACGCGGAGCTTCTTTTACCTACTCTTCCTGTCTTTCTCCACTTGCACAAGTCTCACTGCTGGTCGTCCCGGAGCATGTCGAACAGAGCCTGCAGCAGCCGGTCGTCTCTGTGTCTGTACGGCTGGGCTCTGTAGAAGTTGTCGCTGTAGTCATTGAACAGGCCGTTTTGGGAGGCCCTGTAGCGGTTCAGCAGGTCTAGGGCCTGATACAGCTTCTGTGGCGGGATGCGCTCCTGCTGGAAGCTCTTCGGGGGAGCCGCCGGCATCTGCCTGTTGAAGGCTGACTGAAGGAGACGCAGCAGGGCCAGGTTGGCAGTGGACGGGCCGGAGTTTACTTCTGGGATGCTCATGGAGGCAGTGGAAGGCGGAGAGTCTGGGATCGCTTGATTTGGAATCTCAGGTTTGAGAGCTGGAGTTGGAGCTTCCTGCTGTAAGAGGGAGAAGGGAAACAAAGATGTAAGATTAGAGGAAGAGGAACAGTACATATTACATGTTTTAAAGGAACACTCCAGTTTTTGGAAAATAGACCCATTTTACTGATTCCCTAGAGGTAAACGGTGGAGTTTTACCATTTTTGAATCCCTTCAGCCAATCTCTAGTTCTATCACAGTTGCTTAGCTTAGCATAAATCATTGAATCGGATTAGACCATTAGCATCTCAAAAAAAAAAAAAAAAATTTCTGCCGTACCATGGCTGCGCATATTAGGCTGTAATGAGAGAGTATATACACATTGACATTTCTCCTGTTCTGACCTTCATCATGTCTTCCATCGGCTCCACTCCTCTGCGATCATTTTGTACGGCGTTGTACGGTGTGTATACTCTCGCCTTCTTCATGTGTTCAGGCTTCTCAGACGTCCCGTGCAAAATTAACTTCCAGCTGATGATCTGACCCTCATTCTCCATCCGTCCTGACTGTGAGCAACAGAAAGAGAGAGATGAAAAAGTATTTCGATTAGTGAAAGCTCATATTTGTTAGATATTAGTTCAGGGATGCTGGTCTCTACCGTATCAGTAATCTTCAGGATCCAAGTGCCAGTGGGATTCTCTCCCCATGTGTGCACAGACATGAAGGCCCAGTTTCGGAAACCATTAGATGAAGTGTCCCTCTCTCTCTCCGCCAGTAGGACTGTAGTGGTACCTAACGGAAAAAAACAACAACAGTCAGTGGGCTCTATTTTGACGGTCCATGAGCAGAGTGCAAAACGCAGGGCGCAAATGCTTTCAGGGCGTGTCAGAACGCATTTTTGCTAATTTACGGACGGGAAAATCTGCTTTGCGCCGCGGCGCATGGTCTAAAAGGGTTGAGTTTTTTTTTTTCTTAATGAGTTATAGGTGTGTTTTGAGAGTAAACCAATTAGAGTCTCATCTCCCATTCCCTTTAAGACCCAGCTGCGTTGTGCCAAGAGCGCATTCGCTATTTACAGGACGCAAAGTAAGTCTAAGTGGAAAAAATGAGCATTTCACAAGTAAACAGTTAACAGTTTTTTAACAGAAAACTGTTAAACAGAGCATCTACTGCATGAGAATGAGAGATAAATGATCTACTTTCACATTCGCTCTTGGATAGGGAAACCTTTACGCACAGACATCAATTAGCCTATAAATAATTAATTTCGTTTGTTAAGCGCAAAGATTCGTTTCAAAACTATTTCTAAATTTCTATTTCTAGTTCTAATTTCTAGCAAACGAATAAATCAACAATAATGACCAAGTGTGGTCAAAATACTGAGTTATTTCCAAATACACCTGCCATGCCCCATATGGTCTTAAACCTAACAGGTGGGCAAATCTAGGCTTGTTTTTAATAAAACAAATATAAATATGATTATATTAAATAATACTGCTAATAATAATAACATTATACAAAAGCAAATTGTTATGAATGAACTGAAAAAGCCTCCCGAGATGAAGAAGACATAAAAGCAGTGATTTTTCATATTTATGTAGGCTAGAAAATAATATGTTTTGTAATATTTTAATCCTTTATATTTATATCCTATATCTATTCTTATTATATCCTATACATATTCTTAATATTTAAATTTTTTCATATGTAAAGATATTTGCCTATTGCTCTTTTGTGCGTATTAAGCAGTGTGTAAGCGAGGCGCAACTCTGCGCCGGAGTTTAGACTGGGTTTGTTTTGGTCTAATGAAAAATCTATTATAGTTTCTCAAAATAGCAATGCGCCAGCAGTCCGCCTTAGAACGCCTTCCTTTTTAGACCAGTACGCCTATGGGCGCACAAATGAGCGCTAATGCATTTGCTATTTAAACAGCGTAGCGCAACGCCTCAAAACCACTCTTGCGCCAAGCTGAAACTACCAAAAGACTATTGCGCCACTTCTTGCACCACACTGCGCCGGGTGTTTGATAGGGCCCAGTGTCTGTTAAAGTTTAGAGGGATAGTTCACTTGATGAAAGACTAAACTGTATTATTATACATTTTTTATTTCTTTTTATTTCTTTTTCTTTTTTCATAAAGTTGTTTGCTGCAGACCTCTTGGCCAGGTCAACCTTGTAAAGAGGTATATATGAAGAAACATATATAAGATGGATCTAACTTTTTTCTTCAATAAATTGTGACCCTGGACCACAAAATCAATTAGTTATATTTTTACCAATAATCAAAAATACATTGTATGGGTCAAAATGATAGATTGTTCTTTTATGCTTAAAGCCATTAGAATAATAAGTAAAGATCATGCTCCAGAAATGTATTTAGTAAATATCGTACTGTAAATTTGATTAAAACCCAATATGATTAGCATTGTACACTGCTAAAAACTTAAGGCGAGTTTCTCAATATTTATACCCTCAGATTCCCGGTTTTCTAATAAAAGTATCACAGCCAAATATTGTCCTATTCAAACAAATACATCAATGAAAAAAGATTTATTGAGCTTTCAGATAATAATGTCAATTTTTAAACATTTCAGAAGGGTCACAAATATTAAAGAAGTTAATATTTAGTGATTTAAAAGCTGCTTCTTTGATAGTACAAAAAAATATACAGGCAAAACATAATTAATCCCTGTGGCTCCTGATAATACAATGAGGTCTTACAAAGCAAAAGGATCAGTATGTAAAGAAACTGAACATTTACAAAATTATTAACTTTAATTTAAAGCCTCAGCAAATATTCCGAAGCATGATCGTGTCAGTCGGAAGCACAAGCTTCCTGTTTATGAAAATGTATAGGTTATTGTACGGACTGATCATATTTATGTATCACCAGAAGCCATTCAATCAGGGTTTCCACAGGTTTCATCAAAGTCAGACGTTTTAAGATCCTTTTAAGAGCCCTTTCTTAAGGCCCGGTATTTTGATGAGGAATCATGTAATTGTGCTTACGTTTTTTCCCTGATTAAGAAATTTAATGTGAAAAAATTGGCTTTATGAATGTCTAACGTTGTTGTGAATTATGTCTCTTTGCAATGAAAACAACTGAAATATAAAAACTTAAGGTTTTATTGAGGTTTAATTGTTGGTCATTGTATTTAAGACCTACAACACCATTTCAGTGAATTTGAAACTTGTTAAAGCCTACAATTTAGTTTTTGAAATACTAAACTTTGAAACTTTTTGAAATACTACTACTTTGAAAGACTTTTTAAGACCCAACAGACACCCTTATTTTATGTATTGCCTGAATATTTTTTGACCTTCAATACGCTTATTTAACTTTTTACAGAAGAAACAGTGACCTACATCTCAGATGAGTAAATAACCAGCAAACTTTCATTTTTAACAGTGAATATGACTATAAGAATGTTTAAGTCTCACCTGATGGAGATGTGAGTGTGATGTGGAGGTCTCCTCTTCTTGTATACTCAATGCTCACCTCCACCTGCACATGCTCCAAGGACATGACAGAATTTGCCTGTCCTGCACAGGCTTTAGTAGGGATCTCAATGGAGATCTCGCCCGCAGCCTTCAATGGTCTGTAAACACAAAAAAAGCACAGGTTGTAATATCATTTCACATGCTGGCAGCCTTCATTCATTTTCCTTTAGTTGATTATCATTGGTCGCCGCAGCGGAATGAACCACCAATTATTCCGCCATATGTTTTAGGTAGTGCAGGGGTTCCCAAACTTTTCAGCCCGCGACCCCCAAAATGGCAATGCCAGTGACTCGTGACCCCCAATTTTCTCTGAGGTGGTGGTTATAAATACAGAAACCTTGTGTGCAATGACGCACACACACCAATAGACCCGAGTCTATTCTTTGTTGTTTTTTTTATGTATGTCAGTGCTGTAAATGGACTAGAAAGTTTAACCTGGTGTTACAAAATCTGCTGCATCTGACAGTATTGCTGTGTCTTTAGTATAATGTAATTACCCGAGAAGTCGCAATCCAATAGTACTAGTAACTATAAGCTCCTATAGTAACTATATAGTTTATAGTAACTATAAACGACTATTTTTTCTCATCAGTAGGTTATTGATAAAATACAGTAAGTCTTAAAGTTTAATAAAAATTAATTGATTTTTGAAAATCACCAGACGACCCCCCTTCATTGTCCTGCGACCCCTCGGGGGGTCCCAATCCCCACTTTGAGAACCTCTGAGGTAGTGGATGCCCTTTCAGCCGCTCATACACTCTCACATTCACACACACACACACACATACACTACAGACAATTTAGTTAATCAAATTAACCTACAGTGCATGTCTTTGGACTGTGGGGAAACCAGAGCACCCGGAGGAAACCCACAGAAATGCCAAGTCAAGACTCGAACCAGTAACCTTCTTGCTGTGAGGCCACAGTGCTAACCACTAAGCCACCATGCATGCAATATCTCTTTAATTTTTTTAAACAATATTCCCAAACCTGTTAAAATCTAAATCTAAAAAGCTCTATATCTAAAAAGTTTAATGAAATACAGAAAAAAATAAATACATTAAAATATGATAACATCATCATCATGATCTATGAATGAGTTTGAACAATTATGAGGGGATTTTTTTTCTCTCTACTGTTCCCTGGACAGATATGCATGAGTGATATGAACTGTAATCCCAACAGATTATCTAGAAAGCCACGGACTTTGCATCAAACAAGAGCCATGGTGATAATGCACACATGCTAAAACATGACCTTATGGATGGATGAATGGATGGATGGTTAGACATAAAGTATAGCACAACTTATAGTGTGTCCCACTTTCTCATTCCATAATGCTTTATCTAGGCTACATCACATGCCCAAAAATAAAAAAAAAAGATTCCACTGAGAATTTGCCAATGGCAGCTTGCACTTTATGTTATTGCGTGGCATGCAATAAACACAATTATAGCGTGTCCCGACATTTGCATTAGCATCAAGAAATGCAGTTCCAGGAAAATGAAACATCTGTTCAGGTGCACTTTTATTCCAGCTAAGCCTCACAATATCCAGAATTTCATGACGTAAATGTAAGAGGAAAAACAATGCATGAGTCAAAACCAGATTCCAGTTGTTAATTCCCCAAATATAGCGTCCTATTAAATCCTTCCGTTTGAATCACAAAAGCAGTTGTAAAGAAGAAACAGATGGGCGTAAATGCACACGCACACATACTGGCTCTGCTGAAATTATGGGGCTATTAATGAATAGCATGGCAGCAGATGGCAGGAGATCAGGGTGGCTTTGTCAAAACTCTGCTTTTGTCTCAACTGCAAGCAAAAAGAATTGGTGCTTTTTTAATATCTAGAAGCAAACTCTACCTTGGTTGAAACGTCTCATCTCTGACGATGCACTGTTTCTTCTCGGGAACGTGTTTCCAGACTTTAGGATCGGCCAGGTCCACCAGGGCTTTGGCATTCAGGAGACCAAACCCAAAACGACTGTTGACCATCAGTCCAGCTCCGTTCCTTTTCCAGCCGGGGTTATTGGCGAGAGGGTCAAACTCAGACGTCCAAACCACCAAGTGCTGAAGGTCCCGCCATGTCAGATCGGGACTAGTGTGGAGAGAAAAAAAACACACTATAAAAAAATTCTGGGTTCCACACAATTCCTCAATTCAGGCTCTTTCTGAAAACGTACCACTATATACATTTCTAGAGATCGCAAAATACATCCCAGGAGGTCGTTTTTTTTGCAGTTTTTGTTTTCGCAAATCCAACAGAGGACACTGTGTATGCTTTTTAAAATCTCAAATTTATCTTGCGAGTGCCATTTACGTCTGCTCTTCTCATGTGCCGCTGTCGACTGACTGACTGAGCGATCGACTGACCCACCTCCTCCTTCCCTAAACCCAGTCAATAGTGTTTTCAAAAGCATAGATTGACCCACCCATCCACTTCCCTAAACCCAACTGACAGTTAAAAAAAAAATCCAAAAAACGAAAAGCCCTAGCCTGATTTTTACCATGTTTTCATATTTTACCACATTCACACCCTGTTATTTACTTGTTTATTTTATTGGCCTGTGTTTTTGTTCTACCCAGTTTTTGGAACCGGCATTCACCGAACCCTGTCGTCATGGTCAACTCCTCTGCGTCTCAAGTATGCTGACGTAAACGGTGAGCTACTGTAACTAGACAAACTGGTAACAGTGCAAAAGCCGACCATTCGGAGTTAAGCAGTTAACTTGTAAGTGAGAAAAGGAACAGTGTCATATCGCCCTGTAGCATTCATTTCAAAGACAAAAATGCAGCCATATGTAGCTCTGGCTACATAATTTGCGATCTCCAGAAACATATATAGGGCTACATTTTCAGATTGAGCCTATGTTGCAACTCCATGTTGTCCCAATGCAGATCGATTAAGTTAACTCAATTGTTTTTACAAATTTAAGTGGATTGAACGTAAAACAGTTCAGTTGTGCCCCCCCAAAAAAATGCAAGAAGATTCAGCTCATTTAAGTAGTTTGAAAAAGCAGTAAGTCTTTTTTTAGTGCATCTAGATTTGTACTGAAATGTACACTCAAAATAATAAGCAGGTATTTGATTACATATAAAATGTCCATCTAATTGGATCACACACTTTTAACTTAAACTAATGAACTTAACGTCAGCTGATTCAACTTCTAGCAACACCTTCTGACCACCTTCATTTAAATGAAATTTACTTTATTTTATGCTTGGTAATGCAAATACAGTTGAAACCAGTTTACATACACTGTATATAAAGGCACATAACTATTTAAAAAAAAAGTCAGATGTTAATGTGACTAAACATTTCCTCTGTTAAAAAGCTCAGATGATGGTGTCAAGGTTTTGGAAGTTTCTGATTGGCTAATTGACAACATTTGAGTTAGTTGGAGGCACAACTGTAGAATAGTATTTAAAGGAAACCTCAAACACGCTGCTTCCTTGTGTGACAACATGGGAAAATCAACAAGCCAAAATCAACAAAAAAGTCAGATTACAATTTGCTAAATTACACTGGGATAAAGACTAATTTTTGGAGACATGTCCTCTGGTCTGATGGTACTAAGATTGAACTGTTGGCCATAATGACCAGTGTTACATTTGGAGGACAAAAGGAAAAGCCTATAAGCCTAGGAACACCATCCCACCAACTGTGAAGTAGGGGGGCGGCAGCATCATGTTGTGGGGCTGTTCTGCTGCAGGAGGGACTGGTCCACTTGACAGCAAAGATGGCATCACGAAGAAAGAATATTATGTAGAAATACTGAAGCAACATCTCAAGACATCAGCCAGGAAATTGGAAAAACTTGGCCACAAATGCGTCTTCCAAACAGACCATGACCTTAAGCATGCTAACAAATTAGTTCAAATGTGTTTTAAGGACAACAGAATGAATGTTTTGGAGTGGCCATCACAAAGCCCTGACCTCAATCCTATAGTAAATTTGTGGGCAGAGTTGAAAAAGCTTGTGCGAGCAAGACAGCCTACAAATCTGACTCAGTTACACCAATTCTGTCAGGAGGAATGGGCCAAAATTCCTTCAAACTATTGTGAGAAGCTTGTGGAAGGATACCCAAAACATTTGACCAAAGTTATACAGTTTAAAAGCAAAGCTAAAAAAATAAGAAGGAAATGTTTGTAAACTTTTAACTGTCTAGAAGTTAATTAAATAATTCTCAAAAAAAAAAATCTCTCATTATTCTGGCATTTAGCAAATGTAAATCATTTAGGTAATCCTAACCGACCTAAAATAGTATACAGTATGTTCAGTATGATTTACTATCAGACATTTTTCAAAAATGGTTATGCTCCTTTTTTTAGAGTGTATGTAAACTTCTGGTTTCAACTGTATCTAATTAGCCAATCACGTGGCACCAACTGCATTTAGGCATGTGGGCAAGAAGATCTGCTGAAACTTATTGATTCAATTTAGTGGCATGATTGTTGATTGAGTATTTCTGAAACTGTTGATCTACTGGAATTTTTACCAGTTCAATACCAGTAATAATAAAAGGCACATATGCAAAACAGCTCAAATGTACCAAACAGTTTAACCAGTCAATATTTTGACCCTAAAATTGACATTTTCAGCAGGGTATAATAAATAAAGTATTTCGAGCTAAAAAACCAAAGACACCAATGATTGTTTTACGTTGTACAAAAATGGCATTACATGAGCCCTTTAATAAAGTTTACAATACAAACTGATGTACTAAAATTCTAACATAACGTGCAAAATGCTAAATGTTTGACATACTTTTGCTCCAAAGCCAGTGCAAATATCCCAGCAGCCAGTGGGGCAGATGCAGATGTGCCAGTGTGTGTCTCTGTGCATTCATTGTGCAAATCAGCACTAGTCTGCAAGACAAATAGATAAAAGATGACATGCTAGCACAACAAAACCCAAACGGAGGACAAACAAAAACAGCAGTAAAATCTATGCTATCTAGTAAAATATTATTTACAGTCATCATGGCAAGGATAAAAGAAATCAGTTATTAGAATTTAGTTTATGTTTAGAAATGTGTTGAAAAAAATCTTTTCATAAAACAGAAACTGGGGGGAAAATGTACAGGGGGCAAATAATTCAGGAGGGCTAATAATTCTGATTTCAACTATAATTTGGTCATTCCAGACCATAAGCCAGGGGTGTCCAAACTTGGTCCTGAAGGGCCTGCATAGTTTAGCTCCAAATTCCTCCAACACGCCTGCCTGGAAGTTTTTAGTATACCTAGAAAGAGCTTGATTAGCTGGTATAGGTGTGTTTAATTGGGGTGGGAACAAAATATGCAGGACACCGGCCCTCCAGGACCGAGTTTGGACACCCCTGCCATAAGCAATGCAATAATAACAGGAAAAACATCTAACTGCAGACTCACTATTCTCTGGTCGGTGTAGTCTCCGCTGCTGTAGGCCGTGGCCAGCGTGGAGGAGCATTTCTCAGCGTACCACGGGGACAAACCCTGCTGGGATGCGCTGCTGATGGAGATGGTGTACAGACTGTCTGTGTATCCATCACAGTCACAGTTATCGCCCTGTCGACCCCCGTTACCAGACGCCCACACAAAAATGGAGCCTTTACCACCACGCCCCTGGAACAAAACCATTTTTTACAGCTTATTAGGTTATAATGGGTTTGTGTTAAAGTAAAACATTGCATTTGCTATGTGGTTGTTGAATCCTTGCTGGATGGTCACTAGAGTGTTCTGGTCATTAGGGCATTCTCGAAGGTTGCTGGTTACTTGTGTGTTCTCCCCGTACAAATCATGTCCTTGAGGGTACAAACTGCAATGGTACAAATTTGATTCTTTGTCTTACAGTACAATTCTGTTCCATGAAAAGGTACTGCCCCAGTGACAAGTGTCTGTACCTTCTTTGGTACAACATACTATTTTTTTCTGAGAGGGTAGCCATACCTGCCAACACAAAAGGGGAGTCTCCCCTATTTCAGACCCATCTGCCAATTTGTTCTATCTCCCGGAATTTCACCCCCATGACTTGCAATATAAGTGATGACACAACAGCAGTTTAAGAGCCCATATGCTGTATTTTGCTCCTTAAGACACCAACGTTGGCTTTTTCTACATTAAAACGTTAATATGTTGTAATTTTAAACTACATACCATCACTGCATTGTACAATAGGCTTTTATTTTGCAAACATATTCAAATGCTGTATTTCAAAGTACAACAAAAGCAGTGCATTGCTGAAGTAGGCTTCTTCTACATTTAAACACATTCATATGATATTGTTTACTGCGTAACAATAAGGGATGCAACAATTATAGATTTTGGTTGTACGATTAGTCTGATGAATAATCATGGTTTCACGGTTATCACCATTATTAGGCATTTATTAAATTCTAAACACTCCTAGTTTAGAAAATCACATAAAAACTGCTCATATTTTAGTGTTATTTATCGCCACTCAGTAATCAAATACAGCACAAAATATTAATAAAAACAAACAATAGTCAATTTCTCTTTTTTGACTTAAAAACAGTTTTTGATTTAAACATGAGTGATAATTTTACAATGAAAATAAATGACAGAACAATGAATAAATACATAAAATAAAAATAAATAAAAAATTGTATTTGTCTAATGTTAATTTAAGCAACATATTAGCAAAGAATTTAAATAAACTGTTGTTATCATCTGCGTTCGTACATACATAATCATGTTAAATAATTCGTCTAACGTATCTTTCGTTTACATTGCACTGAAAGCCACGCACAACTCACCGATACTAGGTGAGATCATTTCTACTGTGTCTACCTGGAGTGCGCGAGTGCGTCGCCCCACTTGCAAGTCACAGGCACACCGCTCCCAACATGCGCACTTCTCCATTAGAAATAATAACTTGCGTGCGGAAAAAACGCAAAAGCGCAAATAAGAAGAGCGGCCTGCTGTTATAGTTAATCCAACGTGTGTGCGTACTGGCATAACTTTGTTTAGTTGCAGCAGTTGTGTTGCGTGAAACAGAATCGCGGCGTCGAGAAACCTTTCTAATGAATTTCATTTAATTCGTAATTAATTAAAGCGTGGTTAATAGTGGAATCGGCTAATAGTTGCATCCCTATTAACGATATCAGTGCATTGAACATTTCTTTTCTACAAACGTATCCAAATGTTTTCAGCTGCTCAAGCCACTCGCTTGTTGTCAAGTGACTCACACTTTGCGCAGCCTTCAACTGCTGCTTGTGCTCTATTGAACAGACGCACGTCACTTCACAACTACAGCGGTTGTTTTTGATGTCTTGGTCACATTTTCTCCACCAATTGAATAGCCCTGTGGTACAGACTTCCCCCTCTTCAGTTCGCAAACCCTTGGTTGGATGGCTACTAGTCTAGTGCGTTCTGGGTGGTTGTAAAGTTTTGGCTTTGATGTTCTAGATGATTGCTAAGTGGTTGGCAGTGTGCTCTGGTTGTTATGGTGTTCTGGATGGTTGCTAGTGTGTTTGAAGAGTTTCTAGTATATTCTAGATGTCTGGATGGTAACTGGTTACTTGTGCTTTCTGGGTGATTAAAGGGATTTGTTAGGGAGTTGTATATCTTTGCTAGATTTTTGGTTGTTAGGGTATTCTAGATGGTTGATAGTTTGTTTTTAGTGATTTCTATGGTGGTTTTGATCAAGGATATTTTAGTAAACAAAATCTAAAACTACAACGAAAACTGTTGGTCAACAAAAAATTTTCGCTAACTAAAATAAAATTGGGCGTCATAAGTTGACGGTTCATTCCACTGTGGGGACCCCTGATAAATAAAGGGACTAAGTTGGAAAATGAATGAATGGAACTAACTAAAATTAGTGTTTTGGTTGTTCTTGATGGTTGCTTGAATAGTTGGTAGTAAGTTCTATGTGGTTGTAAAGTAATTGTTAGGTTTTTCTGGAATCTAGATGATTGTTAAGTGGTTGGCAGTGTTCTCTTGTTGTTAGGGTATACTTGATGGTCGCTAGTGTGTTTGTGGTCATTGCTGAGGTGGTTTAGACGGTTTCTAGTGTGTTCTGGATGGTTGCTACATGACTGAATGTGTGTTTTTGGTAGATGCTACCGTGTGTTGGATGACTGCTAGTGTATTAGGGGTGGCTGTAAAGTGGTTGCTATGATGTTCTAGATGACTGCTAAATGGTCAGCACTGTGCTCTGGTTGTTAGGGTATTATGAATGGTTTCTAGTGTGTTGTTGATAAGGTGGTTTCGAAGTTTCTGCTATGTTCTAGATCAGGGGTCACCAATCCTGGTCCTGGAGGGCCGGTGTCCCTGCAGGGTTTAGCTCCATCTTGCCTCAACAAACCTGCCTGGATGTTTTAAGCATACCTAGTAAGACCTTGATTAGCTTGTTCAGGTGTGTTTGATTAGGGCTGGAGCTAAAATCTGCAGGACACCGGCCCTCCAGGAACAAGTTTGGTGACCACTGTTCTAGATGATTGAAAGTGTTTTTGGTAGATGCTAGCATGTGTTGGATGGCTACTAGTGCATTCTGGGTGGTTGTAAACTGGTTGCTATGATGTTTGCTAAATGGTTGGCAGTGTGCTCTGGTTGTTATGGTGATCTGGATTGTTGTTAGAGTGTTGTTAGTAGTTTATAGTTGTTGGCATGTTCTAGCCAGTTGTTAAGTGGTTGCTATGTTGTTCTAAATTGTTTTGGGTGTGTTCTGGATAGTTACTAGAGTAATGCTACTAGTTGCTAGGTTAGTTGATAGTTGTTCCCTGCTGAAAAAATCCAGCTTAAACCAGCTGGTTGGCTGGTTTTAGCTGGATGACCAGCCTGGTTTTAGAGGGGTTTTGGACATTTTCTGACTTGTTTCCAGCAATTTCCAGCCTGGTCTTAGCTGGTCAGGCTGGTTTTAGCTGTTTTGGCTGGACTCCCAGCTTGGCTAGGCTGGTCAAGCTGGTTTTAGCTGGTCATCTCCCAGCCTGACCAGCTAAGACCAGGCTGGAGATGGCTGGAAACCAGGCTGGAAGTGGCCAAAACCCCTCTAAAACCAGCCTGGTCAACCAGCTAAAACCAGCCAACCAGCCTAGGCTGGTTTAGATTGGATTTTTTAGCAGGGTTGGCATGTTCTGGCTAGTTGTTAAGTGGTTGTTATGTTGTTCCAAATGGTCTTGGGTGTGTTCTGGATGGATAACATAGTGTTGTGATGGTAGATAATGTAGTGTAAATGTATGTGGTGCTTTGTGGTTGTTAGTGTTTTCCTGTGGATTCTCACCTTCTGAATACCGTACTCAAAAGCTTTCTGGGCAAGGCGTCCAGGCCCCTCCACAGTCTTCCCATCATCATTAGGACCCCAGCTAGCACTGTAGATGTCCACATGGTCAGGGTTATAACCAATGGAACTGGCTTCAATGGCATCAGTCACGATTCCATCCAGCATTCGTATCCCTACAGATGAGAAGCACAATAGCTGACCTTCACTGAGATGTCGAGAGAAAGAGTGTACAAGTGATTGAATGGTGCTGTTAAATGCATCGTGTAATCTGTGCTGCTTTATTAGGTTATGACTTACTAAAGCTTTTATGTCCAAATGGACATGGACAGGTGGGTTATGTACGTGTATGACTCGTTGTACAGGTCATTGCTCTTATATAATTATGCTGTCATCTCCTCGCTGCAGGGTACACACACCTGACCAGCAAAAGCAGAGAATGACAGATACAAAAAAGACAGCTTAATGAAACAAACCTCCCACTTTCGAGTTGTAGGCCACTCCAACGCCACATTTGTTGTTGTCTGCTTGCATGGCAATCTCTCCAGCACATCTGGTACCATGCCTGAGGACAAACACCAGACAATATGGTTACAATTCGGTTCCATTCGAATTTAATACAACTGGCATGCTTAAAACTCATTATACCTAAATATGAAGAGCGACACAGATTTTCAATAGCCAAATATAGCCAAAGGATTGTCTTTGTGGGAATTACTTGTTGACTTTTAGACTATATTTTAATCATTTAAACAAAAAAACTACAATAAAACTAATAAACAAAGCAAAATAATACAACAACATACAAAACTATTTTAATTTATAGATGTCCTTAAGAGAAAGGCACATGCTTATTTAAAGTGACCCCTTTTCTGTTCTACATCAATTATAAGTAACAATTCATAACAATAAATAATAATCCATAACAATAATCATCAAATTAACTCTAATACACTATTCATACATATACTGTATAACTAAAATAAACTGTAGGAACACAATCCAATATGTTACTCTGTTAAATCTGTTACCAATCAATTACTACACAGTTGCACAGTAGATTCTGTTGTGTCTATAGCTAAGATCCCCAAACTAGGTGGCCAAAGTTGGCCCATGGTAAGCTTTGATTCGGCCCATCATCCTATCTGAGAAGAGAGGGGGAATTTTGGGAAGAGTTTGGGTTAATCCTTTAATACACATTGTCATTTCTAAATTATCGTAACCTTTTTCTGGTTTATTTTACTGTTAAGCTACAAAAAAAGCAAATATTTCAATTAAATGTTGTAAATGAATCCTTTTTTTTAAGACCACAATTCAGTCCTCAGTGAGCAAATCAAGGCAAAGGCAGCTTGGCTAGTGTATTCAGCATTTGACTCCATTGTGTTATAAATTGAATTACAGTTGAATTCAGAATTATTAGCCCCCCTTTTAATTTTTTTTCTTTTTTTTATTATTTCCCAAATTATGTTTAACAGAGCAAGGAAATTTTCACAGTATCTCTGATAATATTTTTTCTTCTAGAAAATGTCTTATTTGATTAATTTTGGCTAGAATAAAAGCAGTTTTAATTGTTTTATGAACCATTTTAAGGTCAAAATTATTAGCCCCTTTAAGCTATATATTTATCTGATAGTCTACAGAACAAACCATCGTTATACAATAACTTGCCTAATTATCCTAATCTGCCTAGTTAACCTAATTATCTAAGTTAAGCCTTTAAATGTCACTTTAAGCTGTATAGAAGTGTTTCGAAAAATATCTAGTCAAATTTTATTTACTGTCATTATGAAAAAGATGAAATAAATCAGTTATTAGAAATGAGTTATTAAAACCATTTTCTTTAGAAATGTGCTGAATAAATCTTCTCTTTTCTCATAAATCTCTCTCTTCACTTTTAGCCCTTCATAAGAAAAGGTTTGGCACCCCTGGTCTATAGGGTGCTACTGATGTTGCTAGACAGTTGTTAAGATGTTCTTGGTTGTTTCTGGGTGTTCTACAAAGTTGCTAGGAGGATAATTGGTTGATTGGTGAACTCAAGAAGGTTGGGATTGGTCATTAATGGTAAGGTCAAATACTAAGGTCATTAATGGTTACAAAGTCATTGCTAGTGTGATTACTACATGGATCCAAGTTCTGTTGTTTCAAGGGTGATATTGATGGTTGCTAGGTGGTTGTTGGGATGTTCTTGAGTGTTTCTAGGTGCTCTATACAGTTGCTAAGTGAGTGCTTGGTGGATTGGTGAACTCAACTAGGTTGGGATTGAATAAATAGTTTGGGTAACTGCTTATAATGGTTGCTATAGGGTTGTTAAAATGTTCTTGGTTGTTGCTATGTGTTTTAGACAGCAGCTAGATGACTTTTAAATAAGTAATATTGTGTTTGGGTGGTTGATTAATGGGTGTTAGTGTATTTTGAGTAGATCCTGATCTATAATTTGGTCCCTGATTTTGTGATTGTGCTTAGGATGGTTGCTAAGGTGTCCTTAATTGTTGCTAAGTAACTGCTAGTGTGTTCCAGGTGGTTGTCAAGGCATTTTGGATGGTTGCTAAGGTTTGTAGCATGTGGTTGATAGGTGGTTGTTGCCTTGTTGGGATGTTCTTGGGTGTTTCTAGGTGTTCTATAGAGTTGCTAGGTGGATTGAAGAACTCAAGAAGGTTGGGATTGATACAATAGTTTGGGTGACTGCCAATAATGGCTGCTATGAGGTTCTTAAGATGTTCTTGGTTGTTGCTAAGTGTTTTAGACAGCAGCTAGACGACTTTTAAATAAGTAATATTGTGTTTGGGTCGTTGATTAATGGGTGTTAGTGTATTTTGAGTAGATCCTGATCTATAATTTGGTCCCTGATTTTGTGATTGTGCTTAGGATGGTTGCTAGGGTGTCCTTAATGGTTGCTAAGTCACTGTTAGTGTGTTCCAGGGGGTTGTTAAGGTATTTTGGATGGTTGCTAAGGTTTGTAGCATGTGGTTGATAGGTGGTGGTTGTTGGGATGTTCTTGGGTGTTTCTAGGTGTTCTATAGAGTTGCTAGGTGGATTGGTGAACTCAAGAAGGTTGGGATTGATAAAATAGTTTGGGTGACTGCCAATAATGGTTGCAATGAGGTTCTTAAGATGTTCTTGGTTGTTGCTAAGTGTTCTAGACAGCAGCTAGACGACTTTTAAATAAGTAATATTGTGTTTGGGTCGTTGATTAATGGGTGTTAGTGTATTTTGAGTAGATCCTGATCTATAATTTGGTCCCTGATTTTGTGATTGTGCTTAGGATGGTTGCTAGGGTGTCCTTAATGGTTGCTAAGTCACTGTTAGTGTGTTCAAGGGGGTTGTTAAGGTATTTTGGATGGTTGCTAAGGTTTGTAATATGTGGTTGATAGGTGGTGGTTGTTGGGATGTTCTTGGGTGTTTCTAGGTGTTCTATAGAGTTGCTAGGTGGATTGGTGAACTCAAGAAGGTTGGGATTGATAAAATAGTTTGGGTGACTGCCAATAATGGTTGCAATGAGGTTCTTAAGATGTTCTTGGTTGTTGCTAAGTGTTCTAGACAGCAGCTAGACAACTTTTAAATAAGTAATATTGTGTTTGGGTGGTTGATTAATGGGTGTTAGTGTATTTTGAGTAGATGCTAGTTGTATAATTTGGTCACTGATTTCGTGAACCGCCAAATATTACGGCATATGTTTTATGCAGTGGATGCCCTTCCAGCCACAATCTAGTATTGGAAAACAACCATACACACTCATACTCAAACACTACGGCCAATTTAGTTTCTCCAATTCACCTATAGCGCATGTCTTTGGACTGTGGGGGAAACCAAAGCACCTGGAGCAAACCCACGCGAACAAGGGGAAAACAAGCAAACACACAGAAATGCCAGCTGGCCCAGCCAGGACTCGAACCAACGACCTTCTTGGTGTGAGGTGATAGTGCTAACCACTGAGCCACTGTGTCACTCTGTGTCGTTATTCAAAAAAAATCCTTCTCATAGCAGTCACAACTAATCATTGCACAAATTACAGAGGAAAATTAGACTTAATGTCTGATGTCACATAATAAACTAGCAATGGATTCACTGTTGAATTAGCAAGCAAGGAGTCATTTTTTTGAAACGATTGCAGTTTTGCTTGATCTTAAAGATCGTTAATGATTATTTGTTTTCCTCCTTCATAATAACCGTCATCTGAAGCCATCAGTGAGTTATTGGTGCATGATACACCATACAGACAATTATGGCAAAGCACCTTGAGCCCGGCTGACAAAAGACTATGTTGACATGGGCGGGTGAGAGGATGAGCGATCATGCGTGTCTATTGAAGAGTGTGTGCGCGAATAATTATGAGTGTTTGTTTGTGTGTGTACAGTATGAGTCATTCACAGACACGCGACCACATGGAGAAGGAATAATGAGTGTTTCTGTTTTTATGTGCATTTTTTGTGTTGTTGTTGGAGAGCTTCAATTTCACGAATGCGAATTTAATGAGTTGATCAAGAAATGAACGCAATTAATCATACTGCCCAATCCTGTATTCAAATGTAAAATTATAAAAGTTAGAGATTTTCCAATGGCACTAATTGGATCGGAGACACTGACAAACAACAATATGCAGTGTGCATTAAAGGTCTGATAACATTTCTTCCAAATATTTATTAATATCTATCAAATATTACTATTAGTCAGATTTTTTTTCAAACTGACTGAAGTTAACACAGAAGTACCATGTTAAAAGCATAAACATGTTTGAAACATGGCACCCTTTTTAGATATTTAATGCAAACAAAAGCTCTACATTATGATTTTTAGTTTAAATTTTTTTAAATCATCAGGAAATTTAATTTTCACATACCTATGAATCATAAATCCAGAAAATATTCAAGTGATCTTTTTAATAGCTGTAAATGAAATAACATGCCAATTTAAATGTTTTTTTATATATATATAGGATTGTATTATAAATTATTTTAAAATATTATTTTGGTTTAACAAATGTCGGGGTGGGAAGGTACATACGGAAATATATATATATATATATATATATATATATATATATATATATATATATATATATATATATATATATATATATATAATATTATAAATATTATATAAGTTAATATTCTGCATTGTTTTATAGGTTTTGTGATATAATAAAAAAATCTCTAAAAAATAAGTTCGCAACACGGTGGCTCAGTGGTTTGTATTGTTGCCCCACAGCAAGAAGGTTGCTGGTTCGAGTCCCGGCTGGGTTTCCTAAGTGTGCTACCCCACAGTTCAAAGACATGTGCTATAGGTGAATTGAATAAACTAAATAGGCCGTAGTGTATGTGTGTGAATGAGTGTCTATGGATGTCTCTCAGTGCTGGATTGCAGCTGGAAGGGCATCTGTTGTGTAAAACATATGCTGGATAAGTTGTCGGTTCATTCCGCTGTGGCAACCCCTGATGAATAAAGGGACTAAGCCAAAGGAAAATGAATGGATGAATGAATGAAAAACAAAGAAAAAAAATGGAATAAAATGGAACTTTTGTGAATTGTAAAATATATATATATATATATATATATATATATATATATATATATATATATATATATATATATATATATATATATATATATAAATAAACAGAGGGTCTAATAATTCAGGTGGTCTAATAATTCTGACTTCAACTGTATATCACAGTCACCAACGATCTAGCCCATACATATCGCTGGAGTCTCACAAATCTGCCAGCAAAAGAACTACAAAATCCAGTCATGCACCGCTCACACGCACTTGTTCCTGGATCTAATTGGATTTGCATTGTAAACATTAAATAAAAATTAAAAAGGTATTACTTTTTACTTCATATATTAAGGTTAGTTATTATACTCCTAAAATAATTCTGCATAAATCCTGCGCAGAAATAGCAAAAAATTTCCTCAGATTCTGTCTGGCCCTACCTATGTATTTGACTACGACTCTGGATTTGCCTGCATACATCTGTTTGCTCCTGATCGTGACCATTGCTTTGCCTGACCATTCTCAATAAACCTGCATTTGGATTCGCACTCCCTTGTCAACATCTTACTTCACATTACAATATGGTGTAATGTACATAAAATGTATATTTTGAACTAATAAAAACATACAGTAAATTAATTGTTTCAAAGTATTATTTACCTTTGGTTCAAACTATAAAATGTCATTTAATTTAAATCAAAACTATTTATTGTGATCAAGAAAACATCCACACAAAAGCTAAAAATATTGTTTAAGTGACACTAAATATATAATTTAATTTTAGTACAAAGAAGAAAACGACCTTGTTTTAACCTTAGATCAAAGCATAATCTTGCTTTAGACCAGCTTAAACCATTACTGTAATTTGTTCCAGCTAAATTTATAAATTACCCTCAAAGCATAGTTTTGACTAGGCAGAAAATAAATAATGTACTTTAATATATTCATTCATTCATTTTCCTCCAGTTGAATCCCTTATTTATCAGGGGTCGCCACAGCGGAATGAACCACCAACTTTTCTGGCAGATGTTTTACACAGTGTTTGCCCTTCCAGTCGAAACCCAGTACTTGAAAACACCCATACATTCTCACATTCACATACACAATCATACGCTAAGGTCAATTTAGTTTGTTCAATTCACCTATATGCATGTCTTTGGACTGTAGGGGGAACCAAAGCACCTGAAGGAAACCCATGCAAACAGAGGGAGAACATGCAAACTCCACACAGAAATGCCAACTGGCCCAGCTGTGACTTGTACCAGCAACCTTCTTAATGTGAGGCGACAGTGCTAACCACTGAGCCACCATGCCGCCCACTTTAATGTATATTAATCAAATATTTATTCTGCCCAAGGAAAAAAATACATTTACTCAAAGGTAAAATGTTGTTTTACAGACCATGACTAATTAATTAAATTACTTTGGTTAGATAAAATTAAAATCCAAGTAAAACATGTATTTTGGACAAAACTTGGTGCTCAAATATGTGTGTGTCTGTGTTCTGATCCTCTTATGTAAGACTGCACAAGTGATGCGTATACCGCTGGACGAGATTACACTCATTCCCTGATGGACAACAGACCTTCTCAGATCAGATCTACTGACACTCTCAGTTCTCCCTTCACATCTGCAGTCTAATTCTCCCTCAACAGATTTGGCATGATGTAAATAAATCTGCAAATCTCTTTAAAGAGGGCAACTGTGCCAGTCAGAGGCCCATAACATTTTCTAATCATGTCCCGTATTGCTGTACAGTATGTGTGGTGCTTAACATAATTGAAAGGTCAAAGGCTTGGGAAAATCTGTCCTTGGGTTTATCAGGTCAGGATCAACAGTTGTGATCTCAAGATCTCTTGAGGTCTTCCGTCCATTCATGCGGCTAGAGATTGATTGACTCACTTGTTTTCATTGGTGGAGTCGTATCTGGGGAAGGGATCCGGATCGTTGTCGTTAAAGTCATAGCTAGCAGCAGGATCCTGCAGTGAGGAAAGCAGAAAGGATAAATGAGTGATTTCATATGTACAGTCACCGGACACTTTATTAGGTACACTTGTTCATCTTCTCGTTAACGCAAATTTTTAATCAGCTAATCACATGGCAGCAACTCAATGCATTTAGGCAAGTAGAAAAGTAGTGCAAATTTCTGTGATGCCAGGTAGGGTCAGAATTTGGCAGTAACAACATGAATGCATGGATCCATCCTGCCTTGTATCAACGGTTCAGGCTGTTGTTGGTGGTGTAATGGTGTGGGGATGTTTTCTTGGCACACTTTGGGCTCATTAATACCAATTGAGCATTGTGTCAACACCACAGCCTACCTGAGGATTGTTGCCGACCATGTCCTTCCCTTTATGACCACAGTGTACTCATCGTCTGATGGCTACTTCCAGTAGGATAACGCACCATGCCATAAAACATGAACCATCTCAGACTGGTTTCTTGAACATGACAATGAGTTCACTGTACTCAAATAGCCTCCACAGTCACCATATTTCAATCCAACAGAGCACATTTGGGATGTGATGGAATGGGAGATTCGTAATATTGACTGTTGCAGCAGACAAATCTGCCGCAACTACGTGATGCTATCATGTCAATATGGACCAAAATCTCAGAGGAATATTTCCAGTACCTAGTTGAATCTATGCCACGAAGGATTAGGAAGTTCTGACGTCAAAAGGGGGTTCAACCAGGTACTAGGAATGTGTACCTAATAAAGTGGCCGGTGAGTATTTATCATACACAGAAAATAATAGTAGTGTCTTTGTATAACCAACGCTATCTCACAACAATTCATAACTTTTTGATTTAGTGTCTAATTCGTATGAATTTTTTAAAAATCTCATTTTAGTACGATTTGTTCTCCCAATAATGATGGTTTAAAGTTTAGAGGTGGGGTCTGATGCAACTCCTTTTAAAAATGGTACATTTTTGTACGACTGAACATTTTGGCCACTGAGCTGACAAAAATTTTAATATTTATGTTTCCTCATGAGATACTTGGTACATGGTACTGCTCTTTATAATTGGAGTAAATTGCAAAAAAAAAAAAAATTAATACAAAAATTGGGATGTAATTACTATTATATATGATACAATTGTATTTGGAAGTTTTACTAGTAACTGGAAATTTTTTCTTTTCTATCAAAACAGCAATTTTAATAGTTCAAACAAGCTATAAAAACATTAATATTTTGCTTGAAATGTAATTAACATTAACTCAATTTTTTGTGTGTTTTCTGTTTTCATTTTTATTTTGGTTAAGGTTTTGATAGGGTTGTCCAAACTCCATCCTGGAGGGCCGGTATCCTGCAGATTTTAGCTCCAACTTGCCTCAACACACCAGCAAGGATATTTCTAGAAATCCTCTTAGAGCTTCATTAGCTAGCCCAGGTGTGTAAGATTGGGGTTGGAACTAAACTTTGCAGGACACCGTTGCTCCAGGACGAAGTTTGGACACCCTTGGCTTAAGGTAACTGGTTAACATTTATTTATTTAACATTAATCTTTATTACTTTAGTATATATTTTTTATTTATACACGTTTAATTTTATTTATATGACTTTTTCTTTTTTTTAAAAAGTGACCTGAAAACATTAAGATTTAATGAGTTTATGCAAATAACAATGTATGCCTTATTAATAATTAATTTTAGTGCTATTCTGCACTGAAAGCTCAGTATTTTCAGTCTTTTCATTAATACCATCAAATATACAAGTCTCAATTTAAGCTTTTTTTTATAAGACTGCTGTGTGTAAACAAGCCAAAAGCCGAGCGACAGCTGATGCCATGCTTTACTCAAATCCTAACAGGAGACAGATGTTTGCTATTATGCTATGATTCATAAGTCTTCTCTAGTGCAAAAAAAAGTAAAGCTGGGCTCATTGCAGAGTTGTGTAAATAGGACACGTTAAATTTTTCACATCCAAAATAGCTACTTTTGTTTTTGGTTTGTTTGTGGCCTCCTATACCAGTAGTCTAGTTGTAGTAGGTGTCACTTACGTAGTTTGGATAAATGTCGGTGTGGTTCCACTCCAGACCGTCATCCAGTACAGTAATGACCACTCCTTTTCCCGTGATGCCCTTCTTCCAGACGGGGATCACATGCAGGTCTAGTTTGGGAAGGGATGATGATGTCCGGGTGTCTTGCTGGAAAACAAAAATGAGAAAACTGATGCTGTGTCCCAATTTATTTAAAGGTACCGTGATTAGTGCTTTGAAATGTGCTTTTTTTTTGTTTAATGTGTGATGTAACATGACCTAAAATATCAAAACAGGGCGGGGCATAGAGTAGCTCCTCCTACTTAAATAAAACAGCCAGTAGCGTGTCAATTTTTATCACAGATTTGCCATTGAGAGTGGTTGAGCTCAAGAGCATATAACAATTGTGGCTTGAAGGGGGCGAGCCATGTCAGATATTAGAGAGCATTTGATTGAAGTATGATGTTAAGAAAATCATTGATCCATTTAAGCAGGAGTGAGAGTGCAAGCTTTGTATGTGTTTATCTTCTAAATTTAAATGTTGTCACTGTTTTTGAGCACACTAGCTTATAGATATCCTCAAGACTAACATACTGATACCAAAAAAAAAAATAAATAAAATTATTTTGATTTCATGAGAGCTTGAAAGGAACTGGTCATCCGAGGATTTTTTCTTCTTCTGTTATTTATATTTTGTATTTTTATTTTATATAATTTACTATTTATTTATTATTTACTATTTATATTTTGAAGAATGTTGAAAACCGGTAGCCATTGACAGCCATAGTAGTAAAAAAAAAGACTCCAAATTTCCAAAAGTCTTGTACTTTAGCAATATTTGTCATTTTTTAAACTTTTTAAGAGTGTTTGTAGTGTTATAATAAAATTCACATCCAATGTGCAATGTGTTGTAGGCAACAGAAGCAGGAATAACCATCAAGGTAACTTTGGAATACTTATTTACTCATATAAAGTCTGCATTAAAAGCAAAACTTTCAATATTAATATTGCTAAAGCACATTGTTAGTCTTAAAATGAACCATGCCAATTTTGTTTTGGTAGTCTGTAATCAAAATCTGACCATCAGCTTCAACTCTGAAACAGCAGTGCTTTTCTGATGATGTCAGCTTTTAGGTTATAAATGTGAAATATATTTAGCCACGCCCTATCAACTATTGGTTTGCTGCGAGTGTAAGATGAAACTTAATCATCAAATTAAATCAACATACTGAATAGTGTTGTTATGATACTGAAATTTCCAACATAAGATACGATACCTTAAAAATATTGATATTCAATACCATTTTCAATACTATGGGGAACAAATTCTGCAAAATTTAAAGAATAAAATAACAACGATAAAATAACTAAGCCATATAATGCTTAAACCAGGTACGTCAGCCATCCTTAAATCCAAAAGGCAACAAAATAAGCTAAATCAGTGCAATCTTATCTTATTTTCTGAATAAAACAAAAGTGTTAAAATCTTTTTATTTTTGTTAATTATTCGTCTCCCTGCTAGCGAGGGAGCAAAGCCAGAATCAATACTAACCAAAATCAAGATTGTATCATTTAAAATATTTCAATATCGATATTTATTAATTCATTTGTTCATTTTCCTTCAGATTAGTACCTTATTTATCAGGAATCACCACAGCAGAATAAACAGCCAACTATTCCAGCATATGTCTCAGCCTCCACCGCTGAGACCACAGCTCTGCACAAGACTTTTGGCCAGCGGAGAAATTAAAATGGTCGTGCCAAACTGAGTCTGGTTCTCTCAAGGGTTTTTTTCTTCACTCTCCTATCGGTGAAGTTTTCTTTCCCTCTCCGCTGTTGCCACTGGCTTGCATGGTTCAGGATTGGTAGAGCTACGCATCGAATGAATTTTCTCTTCAGTATTTGAACTCTCAGTAATGATTTTAAACCACACTGAACTGAGCTAAACTGAACTGAACTTAAACACTAAAAACTGAACTACCCTGATCCAGTTACTATGACCATTTATGTGAAGCTGCTTTGACATAATCTACACTGTAAAAGCGCTATACTAATAAAGCTGAATTGAATTGAATTGAATGTTTTATGCAGCCTCAATCTATTACTGGGAAACACCCATACACTCTCACATTCACACATGCACAATTTAGTTCATCCAATTCATGTCTTTGGACTGTTGGGGAAAACGGAACACCCATAGGAAACCCCTCGAACACGGGGAGAACATGCAAACTCCACACAGAAGTGCCAGCTGGCTCAGCCGGGACTCGAAGCAGCTACCTTCTTGCTGTAAGATGACTGTGCTAACCACTAAGCCACCGTGTCGCCATATTTATTAATATATCTATATTTTTGGCAACACTAACACAAACAAAAATTGTGCAAAAACCTCTGATTTATGCTGACTTCATACATATTACATTTATACATTATATTTAAATTCTATTTAGGATGGAGAGCACATGAATCGTGACGCAGCATGAGTGAACGTACATGAGTAATAGCACTCACAGGTCCTTTCAACCTCTTCACCAAGACAAAAGCGGCTTTATATGACACGACCACTGACCCTTACAACAAAAGCCGTTCGCTTGAAAATGAAAGCTGGCGATGTAATCTGCCATGCTGACCTTTTGGTTGGTGGAGACTATTTTCAGTCCATACTAGAGCATGAGGGGATTTCTCCTTATTGACCGATAATTAAATCTCTGAGAGCGGCTGTGCAGTGATGGGGGAAAAACACAACGATGAACAGCTAATAATTAAAAAAGCAGATAATGTGAGCAATGGTGAAATGCCTTAGAAGACTTTTTTTTTTTTTTTTATCTGGTTATAGCGTTAACAGTTTTGATTGGATAGCTAGAAACTGAATTGATTTTTTCAATAAAATTCTGAGTCTGTGAATTAGTCAATGCATATTTGTTTAAACAAATTGTGCTCTAGAAATATTATTCATTCATTTTCCTTTGGCTTCATTCCTTTATTCATCGCCACAGCGGAATGAATCACCTACTTATCCAACATATGTTTTACATAGCGGATGCTCTTCCAGCTGCAACCCAGAAATAGGAAACACCCACTCTCACATTCACACATATAAACTACGGCTACTTTAGTTTATTTACTTCACCTATAGCGCAAGCACACGGAGGAAACCGACACCAGCACAGGGTGAACATGCAAACTCTATTCAGAAATGCCAACTTATCTGGGACTCGAACCAGCGATGTTCTTGCTGTGAACCGAGAGTGCTAACCACTGAGCCACCGTGGCGCCCTCTAGAAATATTAATATTTCTAAAAAAAGAACTTGTCTACTAATCTAAAAAGTTTTTTTTTTAATCTGAAATATATAGTATAATCTTAAAAATGTAAATTTAGTCAGCTTCTGACAGTATTAAACATAGTAACGTGAGTAAGTAATTTGTATTTATATAGCGCATTTATCATGCATGGACATACACCCAAACTGCTTCACAATCATGCCTCTCCACTCCACCACCAGTGTGTAGCATCCACTTGGATGATGCAACGGCAGCCACAGGACAACGTCGCTAGTGCGCTCATTACACACCAGCTATAGGTGGAGTGGAGAGACAGTGATACAGCCAATCAGTGGATGGGAATGATTGTGAGGCCATGCATGATGGGTGAGGGCCAGTGGAGGGAATATGGCCAGGACACTGGGATTACACCCCTACACTTTCTGAGAAGTGCCATGGGATTTAATGACCACAGAGCCAAGACCACAGTCTAACGTCCCATCCAAAAGATGACATAGTTTAGTAATAGGAATTATAAGGTAAGACTTAATAATTATGAAATACTTTAAATTGTGACCACGTAACACTTTTGAGATCACAAGTCCAAACAACATTTCATGCTAAAGATGTAAAAAATTTAAATATAAAAATATGACAGATCATATAAAGTTCTTAGATGGAGCATCATAATTATAACAAAAGTCAAATTGTGAGATACAAAATCAAAACTGTAATAGTTGTGGCATAAAAACAACAATGAAAATGTCAAAATGGTGAAATAAAAAGTCATTATTATGACACAGGATTGAAAATTTAGATTTTTATAAAATAGGTCTATTAAGCCAAAGTAATTAAAGTAAAATAAGATGAACATAATCTGTAATGCCTCATTTGTTCAGTTTATCAACAAACAACATACCGAAGTTATTTCTGTTTGTTCACAACACAGATATCTAGTTCACTTCATACAGATACCTAGAGCGTATTGACATGTTTCACAAAACAAAGGCTATTGTTCTAGAATTTGTTTACTATGATTTGCTTACTAAAAACAGTTCTCTTATATGTATTACATATATGAGTACACCGCTCAAAAATGTCTCATTTAAATAAATATTTACTATAGGATGATATTATATTTGTGCATATACATTAGATTAGTCAGTACTGCAGCCGAATCTGGAGCTAATTTAATAAAATAACTTACAATAACTGTTCAAAAATTAGTACACCCAAATTTATGTGTTAGGGAAAAATACAAAATAATTTAAAAACAAAAGAGCAAAAATCAAGAAAAACAAAAAATATTTGAAAATTTGTTGTAATTTTTTTGCAATATTTTGCTTGAATTATAATGTATTATCTTTCTATTTCAAAAGATGTTCGCCGACAAATATTATTTAAATAAACATATCTGTTTAATAAATCTGTTTTGTTCAAATGCACCGAAATATATAACCTATATTCACTGGGAAATTAATAAAAATATTAATATTTAAAATGGAGTGTTCTCATTAATGCAGAACACTATCTATATATGCATGTATTACCGATCATAAATGCATATATAAATATACAAAGCTCTGGATATGATGTAACAAAGCTATGTGAGGCATAAAATCTCTATAGAACAGAACTGAAGGGAAGGAAAAGCTCTGTGATCTGCTCACGAATTCTGCATAGACGCTGCAGTAACTCCACCATGAAGCATGACTCATAGCTGAGGTCTGACTCTAGAAAGACACGACGGGGAGGGAGAAAAAAAGAAAGGAGACGAACAGCCACACATGACGGCTCTGCCACATCACAATCTCCTCAGGAGGGCTGAAAAACCCCACAGCTCACATCCACGTCACCGATCTACAGCCTACATCACACCTCTGAGGGCTCATCCACACAGAGCCTT